TTAGCTAACTTTTCTTCTACCACAATTAAGAGAGGAATGTAAAGATAGCAGTGAATACAATTTCTATGGAAAAATGAAGTTGCTTTATGTTTTTTTCTTTTTTTAAGCAATGTCATTTTATGGTTACATTTATGTTCTCAAATTACAGTTTGTAGGTATTAGCGTTACTATGTACCTTCATAAATTCATTCTCAGATTTCCCAATAACAATTAGAGAAAGGTGCCAGGCAGAACTTACCTGCTACTCAAGTCTGTTTCCTCTTCCTGTACAGAAAAGGTTTTATTAGAAGAAGTGACAACATATCAAGAACACTTATCCAGAGCTTATGAGGAAGACTCAATAGCTCCTACAAATTCACATGGTCTGTCAACCCACATGAGTGAATGTCCAGTTTTAGTTACGCAGAGTAACACGGTTAATATTCCTGTGATTCTCAACATTCATAGGGGATTGCAACCAGAGAAGCCCAGAAAGCCCTGCACAGCTAAACGTCTTCAGATGACAGCCAAAATAGAGAGAGACGCGTTTGGAAGAAGTTTTGGAGCCGTTATACAAGATTTTGCAGGGCCTACGATTTTCTTCTTTTTAATTCTGACCAAGGGGGGAAAAAAGTAGACATTTTTCAGTGTTGTAGCTTACAGAAGTGTTTGGGAAGATGGACTGCTATTGTAGAGTATGCTCAGACATTTTTTTGAAAGGTGAATGCAGTTCTTAAGCTGGATAACACCAATATAACGAAGTGAATGCGTGTCTAGACAGCACCCCGATTTTCCATTTGTCTCCATTCTCTTAATGGCATCCTTCTTCTACCTCTTCTCACAACTCCGTACCAAAAGTTTATCATGGTGGCTAAGAGGAGAAAAAAAAATGTAATCTCTTCCCCACGTGGCTGTGCAATAAAGAGATTTGACACAAGCAACATTATAGTATTTATGACTTTGATGCAAGCCAGCAAATTTTTTAGAAGCAAAGAGCATTCCAGTTCAAGAGGCTGGATTCTTATTGTCATTGCTCAACATCTTCTATAAATCTAGAGCAAACAAAAGCATCGGAAACAGTTGCATGAATTCTCCTGTCAAGCCAAGCAGCTAAAATCCTGAGGAAATCAAGCTAGTAGAGCAAAAGTCAAGAGCAGAGAAAGATTTTATTCTGCATGCCTGGGCAGTTGATGCTAGGCTTTCTTCAGCATTGCTATTTTAGTTTGAAAAAAAAAACCAACAACCTAACCCACCTTTTAAGGGCTAATAACTGGCTCTTTTCTAGTTGTTAGGTTTTTAGTTCCCTGTAAAATCCCTTCTAAGTTTTGTGGGGTTGAAGTAACTGGACAACCATCTCCTAAACAGAACAGTGGTAGAACTAAAAACACAAGGCACAGACTTGTGCTGTATCCTGTCAGTACCCTGCCTTCCTTCACAGTGGGAAGGAACTGGAGACCTCTACTCAAATGTTTTTTTTTTTTTAATCACATAGTCCTTTTCACCCTTCCTGTGAGAGCTTGCTTCCCCTCAGCCTTAGATTACTGGCTTGAAAGCAAATCATTAGAGTATCTAAAGCTTTGGTAGCTTACTTAAATTATCAACTCATACATGAAACAGAAAGGCTAATTACTGCCAAAATATAAATATACTTCTTATTTACAGCAAACCTAAGTAGATAACATCCTATCCAGTTCTCAAGTATTCTTGCTCTACACTGTCAATAAACGTGCCCTCTACTCGTGACATTCACCCTGAAAAATTTGATGGCAACACTTTCTGACTAGTCTTGTGCTTGTGTGTAACTCGGCAGTGTTATGGCATAGGAAACTCGTATCGTGACAAGATTTTTCATGATTATGAGCAGTAGCTTGGCAATGGAATTCTCCTTTATGGGCCTGTTCCAAGAACTGTCAATAAAATCTTCCAGTTCAAGCAGGACAGTTTTGATCACCCCCTTAAGCGGTTTAAAGAGTCCAATTTCTTTGTCAAGGTTCTCAGAGAAAGAAGGCAATTTCTCAAGGCACACAATATTAGTCCCCAACCTATCAGTCATTGTTATGAGACAAGCCTTGAGAGTCTGATGGCTGAGGTCTATTAACTGCTCACAAGATTGATAACAAGGTAAGTTGCAAAGGAAACGTTAGATTTCCAGTTTTACAGTCTTTTAAACTTCTTGCAATACCATAGTAGAATAGATGCTGCCTGATACACACAGATATTTCATCAGAAACTATGTTTCATTTATGATTCCATAAACAAAGAGAAAGATAACTGCATCTGCACAAGCCAGGAAGCTGAAGCCCTTCTCTTCCAATACCTGCTTAGTCTGAGCTCAGAAATTTCTCTTCTGCTTAATCAGGAAATTAGTGTGAAATAGCAGACTATGTAGTTACTTCAGACTGTGCAGCCATTATACATCTATAATGTTTAAGTAACTGTTAACTTTTTTTTTTTAGGGTAAGCTAGTACTACTCTAGAGCAGTACCATCCAGTCTTTTCATTTCCTAGATGAGATTATTTCAGATTCCTTCATATTAGGGTAATATAAGAAAATGCAAGCCAAAAATACCAGGGAGGAGTTGTGCAGACTCACGCCAAACCCCTATTTTCTAGTTGTCCTCATGTCAGACTTTAGAAATTGACAGTGCCTCAACTCTTCCAAAGAAAAAATTAGGTGGAGCTGGAGGTTGTCTAGCTGCTGGGAAAGCAGACAGCCCTCTGTTCCCAGAACAACGAGTGACAGAAAAAGGCAGTTCCCTGTGAAGCAGATTCTTGCCTACATAGAGAAGTGGCAAGAATTCGGATGCGCTTTTAAGCCCAACCAGTTCTGGGTGTGCAGCACATGGTCAGACAGGTGCTCACTGACTGTGCCCATCATCTCAGCTTTTTTCCTGTTCCAAATGAATACTCCACGCTACTCCGTTCACACTGCTTGCGCCCACATAACCACACTCTGATCTTTTCGGTGGTTTACTGCAGCTTTGCTTACATCTCTTCCCAAGTAATTAATTTTGCAGTTCACCTAACGAGTCTCTCAATTTCACTATAATGTAAGTTAATTCCTATATTGTTACTGCACAGCTTGCAGGTGTAGACAGAACCCTTCAACTGTATGATGCTGTAGATCTGAGATAATTCTTAAAATGTGCTATTAACAAATGGACATGAGAACTATTTTGACATCTATTATTATAAATATATAAGCAAACCCAGAATCAAAGATTAGAACTCAATGAGCCAGGCATCATGTACTTAGTATTGCTTACCCTTCAGAGCAGATTTTGCTTTTTCATTGCAACCCTGGAAGCATGAGACATTCAAATCCCAGTAACAAATTAATTTACTCAAATATTTTGACATATCAGAAATTCTTAATATCTGACCAATGTTAATTAAGAGTCTTGAAAAGTCGATTAGGGCTAAAAGTCAGCTGTTTCACAAAAAAGGGAAAAAAAGGCAACACTCGGTAAGTTCTGAATGGTGGAACCACTAGCAACAGAACGGTCATACTATTTTCCCCCAGAAAATGATCTGGGTTCTCCAAGGGTGAAAAGAAAGTTTGCCAATGTTTTTCTGCAATACTTCAATGCACGTATCATCATTTGAAATCTGACATTCTACTTCAAAAGACCTAAGGAATAACAGTCCATTTTATATTGGAATAGCTATGTATGCTTTTGTATTCATAATTGGTCCTGGGTTACATTTTAGATGTAAATGAGCAGCTGTTTTACTGTAATCACACGGGGCCCAGATTCCTGGATTCTGTGACATTTTAGTCGTTCCCTGCATTGACGAATATACATTTTTGAAATATTATTGCCTGCCCACCACCACTGTAGCCTCGTAAGAACAGTTATCTACTTCTACAATGGTAGAGATATGAAAAATAATACATGTAATATAGTTACTCTACTTTTGCCCAACTTGTGTATTCTCCATGTTTGTTCTGTTTGCAATGTGGATTCCACCCTCCTCCATTTCAGTCTTTTAGAGTTCTCTCTCCAAAAAGCCTTCTAGTATATTTATACCCCATTTCACTTTTTCCCTTACCGAGTCTCCCCAGCCCCTCAATCCTGTGGTAGCATCTTTGACTCTGCCCATCACTGATCTGATAAACTAAGACTAAAAGGCAATTCGCTTTTGTAATTCACAAGATACAACTGCAAAAATTCTCACTGCATCAAGGTTATGGAGCATTTTAAAAAACATTATCTGGGCTGAGTGCTTCAATTTATGTAATCTGCTTTTCTTAATTTCTTTGCGTATTCATAAGAGAGTACACTAGACATTACCAAATGGATAAATTCAGATTTAAAGAGAACATGAAGGAAAACCAAACATTTCACTAGAATGTTAACGTTTTATCACAACATTAAAAGAAACAGTATTAAGCCTGTCCCAGCTGTGGTATAAGAGAATTTTTTTTTTTTTTTATCTTGGACACTGTACCTGTTATACAGATACCATGACTGAAATGAATCACAAGCTCATACAGTCTTAATTATTCATAAGTATGTTCTGTTCTAAAGGAATCTTCCTATATTCTTCAGCATATTTGATGGACAAAGCAGAGTTCTGTAGCGCTAAACACCCTTTAATGATTCACGTGAGCAAATTTTTTTTTCCTCTCACACTGTAATCTGTCCTTGTGTTTACTCCAATTTTCAGAGGTGTGCATAGAAAAAAGGGTACATGTAAAGCAAATTCTTCTATAAAACCTAAAAGTATTTTTTCTTTCTTTAATAAAAAACTCTGTAGTATTGACTTAAGATAATTATATTCAACTATCTTCTTCCTTACAACAAGCATGGCAAAATTAGCTGGCCACATTCTCCCTTTCTACCTTTAGTCTCCCCTCCAAAGAGACTTCCTGAACTGAAAGATAAAAGATGTTCCCAGAAACAAAACCATAAAGACCCCTAAAAATGTGAATAGAGCAGTTTAAATTGGAAGTAACTCAGATGGTTTTGATCAAGGTAGTCTATTCCAATGCCACAAGCCATTTAATGAATGTATGATTAACGAGAAAACTGCCGACTGTCCGATTTCTTGCTGATGTGTTTGAAGATTTTAGCTTTGTGGACGTTCTTCGACTTCTGGTAACCAAATCCCCCACCTCCACCTCTTTTCTGTAGTCTTCTGCCATGGTTGCTGTTCACATCTGGAATTTTATTTGTTAAAGGACTTAAAAAGGAGTAATTTGAAATGTTGCTTTTTAGGTATTGTAAGAGTTATTAATATGAGAAAAAAAATAACAGCATTATACAAAAAGTTGAGTTGCATAACTACAGACAAAACTAGAGCTTTGTGCCTGTAGTTCTAAATAATGCTTTTACTCCTCCAGTTGTCCAACTAAGTTGGCCAAAGTACTACTGCTTCAAATTCCATCTACTGGCAGGTTTGACAGTAATCTAGATACAGTCTTCTATTTCATGCTCTTGCCCCCTATTTCAGTATTCCATGATTATTAAACTTAAGCACGTACCTTTCAATGAAATAATTCTGCATGGAGGAGAACAGTAGTCTACAACACGTATGCAATATTCCAGTATCTGCTACCCTGCAGCAACTGAAGCATGTACATGCACTAAAACATAGATGTTTGTAAGCAAATATTAAAACTGCAAAAATTGCAATTTAACATTTTCTTTGATAAACCATTGTTGGAGCATGATGCATTTATGTGATTAATAGCAAAAAAAAAAAAATAAAAAAAATCAGAATATGAAGTGGCGTAGGAACTTCACTAAGTTGCATTTAACATTTATAAAGCAGAAATTCAGCTTTGAAACACTGCAGTAAAAGGATACTGAGGTCAACAAACGGAGGAACTTTAAAACCAAATGAAAGGCTGACTTTGGGAAGATCCAAGTTATTGACATTATAGATCTGCTTCAGAGAATGGGAGTCATAAGCTCTAATGTAAGCTTTGTATGCTTCCTGGGCTGACTTGTGAAGAAAGTAGTTCTTCTCAATCAGTTTCTCCAGCTGGTGAGGGGAAAAAAAAAAAAACCAAACCAAACCCAAAAGACATATCCAATTGTAGCTGTAACAAGTGTATAAATTATATTCAAGCAAATTATTTAGCGTGTGAGTTGCAGTGACATTCACTATTCACTTCAGCAAAATTGCCCCATGATGGTAGAGTGCACGTACATGTATCTGAGTGCTTTTATGAACAAACAGAGGGACAAAAAAGCCTGAAGTTAATTACAGTACAAAGCCTCAGCAATATGAAAATTTACAGAAATATTAGATCAGGTTGTCCCAAACAAGTTAATCAAGAAGGAGTATACAACTGCAGCCACACCATGAAACTATGTGTACTGAGAATTAATGGACAACGACAGCATACTTTTAAGTCAGACATCTAAACTGTACCATTCCATGTAATTCTATACGTAGTCTTATCTGTTATGGTGCAAATGTATTGTAAGATAAGCAGTATTAATTCTAAGACAAAAATGCAGATGCACTAGTGTAGACTGAGACATTTTATTTGTTGTGGGCTAAGTTCCCAATACTCTTTAGATCCAAGCGTCTCATTTGCTGTTTAACATACATTAATTCAGCATACTAAAAATAAGTTACATTAGACATCATTACTTCCTAATTATTCTTAACTAGGAACCTCTTTCTGTAAGGACTGTCTTCACTGCTTCTTGTACTTGCTATTTCAAATTTAAGTTACTGCAAAGAAGCTTTACAGAGGTCTTATCAAAAGTGTGATTCACAGAACTAAACAACAATAGAAATTCACATCTACAGAACTGTCTACGCTATTCTATTCAACTTTGTGCTCCATGACTATTTTTGTAGCACTGGAGCACAAAACAGGTTTAGCTGATGCTGGGCCTTATTACCACCAGCGAGTTAAAAATACTAACATTTCTAAGTGTTGGTACTGGATCTCTTTCTGCACACTGAAATCTGAATAAATCATCTTTTAAGACATAGGTTACTCACAACTAATCTGAACATACGTAACTATTCAACAAAAGCTACTGAAACCCTGTTTGCTATGCTAGGCAAGAACATTCTGTTCAAAAGTTGAAAGCAGGTTCACATCACTGTGGTTTTGCGATGTAATGAGAAAAAACAATTCTTGCAAGCAAATTCGTACTGTATAATGAGGACAATTTAGTACTAGATATTAAAATTCATCTTTGATTTCTAAACATTTTATCGCTTTACTGTCATCAAGGGACAATATGGAAGGATTTACTGCACAGTACTCATCTACAGGAACTTTTCCAAACAAGCATACATATTTTTAAACTGCAGTTGTTATAGACTAACATTCTGCATGTAAATTATTATACAGATATTCAGAGTAGCTGTAGTATGAAATCATTTCATACCTGAGACTGGATGTCTGAGATTTTTGACCAAGAAAATTCAAATTCACTTAGTGGTACCTTAAAAAAAAAAAGAAATAAAATATCAAAATTATTTATAGTGTAAATAGTGAATGTGTTTAAGACCTAAGACAAACAGAAAAAGACCTGTTACGTAAGATTTTAATACCACAGCTGCATCTGTAAAGTGCCTTTACATCAATATGCCAGTATTATCACTTCCTTAATTTAAGCTAGAGTAATAAAGACGTTCAGTATGACACTTTTACCACTTTAGGTTTTGCTTTAGAAGCTATACCACTTCAGTTACAAGCGGCAAAACTGTAGTGTAAACAAGCCCATAAGGACAGCAACCAAGAAACTATGTGCAGTTCTATCATACTAAAATGATTACATTTAGAGGAAGGCTATGCTTCTTTTGGAATTGAACAAAATGCAATTGACTCTTTGAATAGAAAAAATAAAAACCACACAAGCAACATCAAATTTCCTCTGGATGGTCAAGCTCCCAGTATCCTTCCACAGAGGGGTCACAGGAAATTGATTTATTTTTTAATAACGCAAGTTGCACAGTTGCAAAGCAACTATAAATACACTCAATATTTACCTTTGTGCTGCTGACTTTAAAGTCAGATGTTCAGTTAAATATTTTCTAAGCAACAGAATATTTTTTTCTGTGCAACAGGTTTTTAAAGGCAAAAACTGTAATGATGAATCAAACATTTTAATTTTTTAAGCAAAAAACAATCTAGACATAAGTTTACCCTGGCTTGCTTTAGGTAACGAAGAAAGCCCAGTTCTTCCGGTCGTAAAATGAGCAGAGCATGTCCTCTACCATTTATGCCTCTGGCAGTTCTACCAACACGATGAATATATTCCTTTTGGAAAGAATAAGAAACAGCAAGTCCAATCAGTCTTTCAAACATGTAATAATCAAACAGCTTCACAAAAAAACCCAAATTTAACATTAATATAGTGTAATGCATCACCCATTATTTTTTAAGACTTTTTCTTAGCACTGACACATGGATAAGGGAAATCAAGTGCTGAAGATGCAAAGCATAATTAGGCTGAGACAGAACCCCTGACAAAGTATTTAACCTTTTACTG